AGCCAAGAATATATTACCCAAAGTGATTTACCATTTATAATACCTATAGATTGGCATAAAAAAATTCAGGTAAATTAGAAGAGAATTTCAAGTCCTCAACTTATTTGAATATGAGAATAAGAATTGTCAATCTTAACATTCAAATTGCACGTGGCTTTTAAGTTGAAGTGAAAATAATATCAAGTGATCAAATATTTTTACCTCTAGTTTTGAGTCATGTGAAAGTTGCGCGCGATTTTGATTTCTACTTAAAATTTTGGTTACATTGGATCCAAATTCATCAATTATATAGGTTGGAGATTCAAAATTTTTCTTTTGAAGATTGAAGATTCATAACCACGTCACTTGAAAAATTAGGATACACATCACTCATTTATCCTAATGATTCACTTTGCATCTCTAAAGTACTTGAAAAGGAGCACTCTAAATCGCCTTCTGTTTCATTAAGAGCAAATAAGTTGCAGATGAGATACAATGGGGATAGAGCACCTTGGCTTCAAACTACGCGGCCACATCACAGTTACCTCTTTCAGTTTGTTTTCTTTCTGGAGATTTTATATTATTATAGGAAATAAGTATATTTTTTTAATGTTGCGGTAAACAGTCCATCATAGGAAGTTAGCTAAGGCTTTCAATTTGTTTTGTTTTGTTTTTTTTTGGGTTGGGCAAACGAAAACATGTAGAACTGGATTTCATTCCTTGATTCAAACCAGATTGACCCTCTTTCCATCTGAGCACAAATCCACTCTTCGAATAGCAAGCAACATTACGTAAGTTTTTTGTTAAGTAAAAGAATCAAGAATAAGTAAAAAAAAGCCTTGAGACACGATCATAATCTTGTCACCTAATTCAATATGATTGTGGAAAATTGAAAACTGTTTGCTCTAGCACTAGCATTTCCTACCTCAAGTACGCATTAGTTGTTTGCTATAGCACTAATACACGGTTGCACAAAATGGTACGGTCTTGCGCAGTCTAACATGATGTCCAAGTATGTAGTAATATACACATGAGCAAGAGATAGGATCTGTTGACAGTTGGGTCCCGTTGAATTTGGAGATCAATGGGGCTTTTAACCAACCATTCTCCGCACAAAAGGTCCTTTCCATCACTGGTCATCCGTTTAATAGATGTGTTCTATGCAGTTAAAAAAGTTTCCTCCTTGATTCAATTTCTTCCCCAAACAACACCCTCTATCAAACCCCCTTCCACTCCGCCACCACCCCCTCAACAATGGCCAACATCATCGCTCACATTTTAGCATATACAAACATATAACCTAAAACAAAACATCACGTCCTAATGAAGAAGAATTTAGAGATACTGACTTTGAATCCTAATCGAGATTTACAACCATTTAAGCCAACCCTATGAAAAGGTGCAAGAAGATTTGTTGAACTATGTCACACTATAATGTACATAAAGAATTGTTGATCAGATTAGATTACGAATACAGAAATCATAGTTATTAAAATCGGACAGGACCATCCAGTTTGGACCGGGAACCACTGAACCGGATAATGGTCCGGTCCGAGTTCATTAGTTAGACAAACAAACAAAGGAACCAGTCAAGAATCGGGTTGAACCGTTCAAAATCCACCTAAACCGGACGGGGTTAAGAGGTAACAGAACCAATTCAACGTTTGAACCAGCTGGTCACTAAAGTAAAATGTAATTTTTTTTTTTTTTTTTTTATCAAATTGGAAAGAAGCTAATTCGAACTTAGGCCTCTTCCTTGGAATGTCATGTCCTTCACCATTTTGGATGGTGCTGTCCTTTAGTCTATAATGTGTAGCAAATATATATATTTCAATTTACAAAGTACAATGTGAAATCCCTTTTTCCAACTTGCAAACAAGATGATTCGAACATTGGGTTCTTACATGAAAATTTATATATATATATCTAGATTTAGCAAAAAAAAAATTTTTTTTTCAAAAATATATGTTAATTAACATTATGATCTAACAATGATCCACCGGTTCAATCGCTGAATCACCGATTCAACCACTGACCCGGTGACTCGATGACCTTCTCAGGTCGACCATCAGGTTGAGTCTAATAACTATGACAGAAACTAAAACAGTAGTTGGACTAGAGAATGCGATTGTATTATAAGATCCAATTATAAGATTGCATTATATATCACCGTTTTATACATAAATTAAGCTCTCATTTGGCCTCATTATTTGGTATTATAATATTTGGAATAATATTTTTTGGAGAATGTGATTGAAAAAGAAGGAAAAGTTTCTGATTTACCTGTAATATTATTTTATTAAAGATTGGTTGGTTAAAAATAAAAGAGAAAAAAATTGTAATGGGAAATAATGGGGAGGGGGGGGGGGGGGGGGGGGAAGGATTTTGTTTTGCGCTAGATAGAAAAGTAGCGTAAATCCCAATAATCAATTCAATTTTTTTTAGCTGGTAATTGGCTAAATAGAAGAACTGCGAGCCAAGAGTATATTACCCAAAGTGATTTACCATTTATAATACCCTATAGATTGGCATAAAAAAATTCAGGTAAATTAGAGGTCTATAATCTTTTAACATAGTATGGTTGTGTCTTCACCATTTTAAAATGAGAATTTCAAGTCCTCAACTTATTTGAATACGAGAATAAGAATTGTCAATCTTAACATTCAAATAGCGC